GGGGGTAGATCTCGCGCCGATGCGGGATCGCGGGCCGGGGGCAGCAACTGCGCCTTTGTAGAGATCGGATTGGACTGTTTCCGATCCGTCGGTCAACAGCTCCCGCGGGTCTCTCGAGGATGGAGGTGCCGGAATATTCGCCGCATTGGACGTGTGAGGGAGGAGCCCATGGCCGGGCGGGATCATGCCCAGAACCGGATCATGGGGTTGCGCTCTCTTGGGGCATCATCACGAGTTACCAGTGGGTCAGGCGACCAGTTTGGCCGTGGGCCGCGCCAGGAATCCGCGCTCTGAGCGGTCCCACAGACGGAGGAAAGAAGCCGAGGGGGCCTCGCGCATTGACAACTATATAGCCGGCCGGCTTTCGAGCCAGCTCCGAGGCGGTGCTCGATCGGGGCGATTATCGACGGGCTGCCTCAGTCCGAGCAGCCGTAGGTCAGCAAGCCCCGTCAACTTGCATGCGCAGGCGGGCAACTGCCAAGGTGCCGGCTCTCGGGGGGGGGGGGGTTCCCGGGCTGATCCGAGCGACAGACAGAGAGAGGGAGGGGGAGAGAGGCCCTCAGAAACAGGCCCAGCCCGCGCCGCGCGTCTCCGTGCCTCTGCCCCCGAGGGCCTGCCGGGGATCTGGCAAAAGGGTGCAGCCCGCTCGCTGGCTTGTCCTGCGCCCGTGTTCGCTTGGAAAAGGGGTACCATTTGCCGAGGCCACATCCGCCCACGGGCATCGTTGCCGTGTGTGGTTGTAACTGTGCGAGGGTCTCAGTTTATAGGGCGGTGCGGGCCGCCGCGCCCCCACCCGCCGAGCGTCCATCTGGTCAGGGGGCCCCCTGGGAAGTAGTGGTCCCCTCCGCTATGGGTTAAGGAGCAGTCGCAGATATGGCCGCCGGCTCTCCCCGCACAGGCGCTGCACGCCCAAAAGGACAAAGGCCCAAGCGACGTGCTCCCCCCCCCCCCCCGGGCCGGGCCAAGACACCAGACCCCCCTCGCCGAGCCACTGGGCAGGCAGCAGGCAGCGGAAGGCAGGCCAGCGGAGAAGTTCCCTCACTTGGTTGAGGAGGGCCACAGAGCGCGCGTAGCTCCCTTTCTAGGGCTGACTTTTCAGTCTTTCAGCGCGACGCGCCTTGCCACCGACGCCCAGCCTATGCTCTGCTGGCCCCCGAAGCACACCCCTACAACACACATCCAAAAGCCTTGCGGCGTCTCCGGTGGTGGAGACGGAAAGAGAGGAGGAGCAGGGAGGGCCGCCATTAGGCGCGCGGCCCTCCCCCCCCGAGAACAGGGGAAGCAGGCAACGAGACCCGGCCGGCCCCCTGTCTGCTCCCCCTTGCACACCTCACACCACTCTCGGTGCCGCGTCGAGCAGAAGAGCGGGGGCGCGCGCACCGCACCGACTGGCAGCTACATACACACGCCCGAGAAAAAGGGAGGGAGAGACGAGGCGCGGCCCCCCCCCCCGGCCATGCGCGCTAGGTAAAGACAACACAAGATATCACACACAACACACAGGGGACACCCGACCAGGTTTGGCTGCTGTATTCAAACACAATCTATTCTTGACCGCGACAAACCCAAGAAAGATTCTACGAGCAGACGACGGGGGCACGAACAGAAGTTGGAGGGGGTGGCATTCGATCAGCTAACAGAGAGGAGCGCCTGGGAGGGGGCGAATTTACTGCTTGCGGAACTCGAAGACGACATCCTTGCCGGTGATCTTCTTGTAGACGGCAGAGAAAGTCTCGAGCTTGTGGTCGAGCTGGGTGGCCTCGGTGGTGTCGAGGAAGCTGCGCGTGCCCCGCCATCGGGGAGGGGGGGAGAAAAGAGGAGAGAGGGTGTCAGGCGCGGGGAGAGAGAGAGAGAGAGAGAGTACACACACACGCAAAGTAGGGGGGAACACGGGGGAGGAGAGGGGGGAGGAGGCAGGTATATACGTACACCTTGAGGAGGCGCTTGCCGTTGGTCTTGTACTGAAGACGCTTGCCGGAGATCTCAGCGGGGTAGACGATGTCGTTGAGGATGGCATCGTGGACGGCGGTGAGAGTGCGGGAGCTGGGAGCAAGAAGAGTCGGGCATGGGGTCAGAGATGCGAAGAAGCGAGGGGGGGGGAAGGGAGCCAGGGGGCGGCGGGCGCCGACAGCGGAGGGAAAAAAACGAGCCCGAGAACGTACTGGGGGCGGGGCTGCTTGTGAGAAAGCTTGCGGCTGGCCTTGGGGAGAATGCGGCGGTTGGCGATCATGACGACGTGCTTGCCGGCGAACTTCTTCTCAAGCTCACGGGTGAGGTTGCTGGAGATGCTCTGGAAGCGCTTGAGCTGGGGGACGGGGACGCGGATGACGATGGCGCGCTTGTTGCTGCCAGCATCGACCTGCGAGGGAAGCGGGCGAAAGAGCACGAGAGAGCGAACGAACGAACGAACGAACGAAGAGAGAGACAGAGAGACAGTGGGGGTCAGTAAAGGGCGAATCGCCTGGCCAGCATCCCGTGCACGTGGACATGCGACCCGGCAGCGGCCTTCTCCACATCCCGGAGACGGCTGGACCCCTCTCCCCCCCTCTCCCCCCCTCGGCCGCGCAGTGGGAGGAAAACAAGCGAAAAGAGATACGGACCTCCTCGGCGGCGGTGAAGTGCAGGGACTTGAGCTCGGCGGCGAGCTCAGGGACCTTACCCTCAATGCCGGTGAGGTGGAGGGCCAGCTGGTCCTCGAACTCGGTGGGCTTGGCACCGTTGGCCTTGACGATCTTCGACGCAGTAGACATTCTGCGGGGATGGCGGGCGTGCATGCGCGTAAGGGGGGAGGAAAGAGAGAACAGCGAACCACAAGGAGGGAGGGCAGTTGAGCGAGACAGCGGGGCACAGGGGGGTTAGACAAAAGCCAACGGCAAATAAGCTGAGAGGGCGCGCGGCCCTTCGGGCCCGATGGTGAGAACACCGACTCTGCGCCTCGTGGTGGACGCCGCCATGACACACACACACATGCACATGCACATGTGCTGCGATGTCCTCTTCCTCCTCCTCTATGTCTCCCTCGCGGGGCACGGCGCGCGAGCGCGCATCGGATGCAGATCCGGAAAGGTGCATCCGACAGGCCTGGCCGGCGCCGTCGGGCGTGGGTCCTCACACAGAAGGAGATCCACCACGCGACCGGGCATCCCTCCCGGGGGGGGAGAAGGACACGGCAATCCCGCCATGCCACACACGCGTGCGCGCGCGCTAGCCGGCAGCCCTACGAGGCGTGCGAGGGCCGGTGGGGTCCCGCCGACGAGACGTTGCACACATCCACGCATGACCAAAGCCATACGTATGCAGGCAGACAGCCACGGGAGAGGAGGGAGAGAGACATAGAGAGAGAGAGAGGAGGCTGGCACGTAGGCACGCGCATGTGGGTGCGTGCGTGCGTGCGCGCTGGCACGAGCGCGCGCGCGAAGGCAGTATTTCCACGAGAACGAGAGAGAGGGAGCGAGGGGGCGGCCATCGGGGAGGCGTGCGCAGGACGCGCAGAGACACGGCAGCCACGGGCAGGGAGAGAAGGAGGGCAGAGGCATCGGCAAGGTGGGGGGAGGAGGAGGAGGAGCGGGGAGGAGGCGAGGTCGTACGTGTCGTGACCTCGAGTTTCTGATGTAAAAAAAACAGTAAACGAGGTTAGAGAGCGACTCTCTCCGAGGGGAGTTGAAGGGAGGCGCCTGACAAATGGCTGTCAATTTTCAAAGAGTGCTAGAGCACCGACCGGCCGACCGCCGGGAGAGGCATCGACGAACGGCGGGCGACGGTCCGCAGCCTGCACGGCGGCAGGAGAACGCAGTCCTCCTCGCATGGCCGTGGGTTCCCCCCCTCCCCCCCCGCCCTCCGGCCCTTGGACGCTGTTGGGGGGAGGGCGGATCTGCTAGGCCCCCCCCACCTCCCCCCCCCCCCCCCCCCCCCCTCCCCTCCCTACCCCCCCCCCCCCCCTCCCCCCTGCCGCCCCCCCCCCCCCCCCCTTCCCCCCCCCCCCCCCCCCCCCCCCCACCGGGCCCCGCGCAGGGTTCACCGCCGGCCCCCGGGGGACACACGTTCGGCGATTCCCGCTCGCCCCGCGCGCCGGGAAGGGCGGAGGGCGCCCACACACCACCCGGCCCAACCACCCCTCCCCCTGTGTGGCCCTCTCCCTCTCCTGTCTCTCCCCCCCATCCCGCCCTCCCTCCGCCGGCATGCGCCCGTCTGCCCGCTGGCGTCCGTCCGCGACAGTGCGCCCCCGCCGTGAAAAGGCGCCTCCCGCCCGGCACACCCGCCGGCAGACCAAAGACACACGGGTCTCTCTCCACCAATGGAGCCCCAGACGAGGGGGACAGTCCGCCTGGGGGGGGGGCGCGCGCGCGCGCGCGGAGACCTCTGCCCCTGGTAGTCCCCCCCAAGACGGGGAGGGGGGGAGAACCGGCCGCTCAGACAACCACACAGAAAGAAGGCGAGCCACCAGCGGAGACTGGCGGGCGCCCGGAAAAAAAGGCCTCCGGGTCCATGTCGCCCTCGGTGCTGAGGTCCGTGTGCGAGCACGGGTCGTCAACACGGCCCCGCCTCAACGCGGCCCTGGGGTGCGGATCTCATGAAGCAGAATCCCGCCAGCACGCGCTGTGCACGAGAGCGCGCACACCCACGTACGCCGCCCAGCCTCAGAAGTGCCAGGAAAAAACCCACGCGTGGCTGGCCCCAAACCGGCCGGCATGCTTGAGGAGCCTCTTTATCTCATCGGTGGGGCACTGGAAAAAAGGCCCCCCGCGCCGCCACAACCAGCAGCATGTATATTCTTGCTTTTTTATTTATCTCCCATTTGTGGGGAGGATTGGGGAGAACCCGGATTTTTGTCCACCCGTATTGGGTGCTCCCTCGGACGCCCTCAGAGCGTTGGCACTTTCCCGCCAAGAGATCGAACGCACGCGCCAAGATCCCGCTCTCCGGCCTCCGACCGGCCGCCCCCCCCCTCTCCCGCCCCTCGGGGGGTGCGCGAGACGGGCATCCCCACTGGGCGCGACTGGGGACATCATGGAAAAGATGCCCGCCGCCGGCCCGGGGCATGGTCAGGTCGTGACACCGTCGATCTCCCCCCCCCTGCCCTGCCCTGCCCTACTGCCCACCTCCACCCACTGTCGGAGATGCCGCCCCGCACCAAGCCCCCGCCCCCTGCGTCGGAGGACCATCTCTACTTCCTGGACCCCCTGACGCCGCACGTCACCTTCCTGGCGGCCAGCACGCGCGGCTTCGCTGCCCCGGCCGCCGGGGGGACGGCCCTCCAGGACAGCCTCGCTGGCCCGGCAGCCGGCGACCTTGCAGCCCTTGGGCCCTGCCTTGTCGGGATCGATGAGGCCGGTCGTGGCCCTGTCCTCGGTGCGTGTTGCTCCTGCCCAAGCCCCCCCCCCCCCCCCCCCCCC